TTATCACCTTCTATACCTGATTTTATTTCAATTTACAAAGTACGTATCAAGGTTTCCCCCAATATAAGATCACCGGTTCAATGCTCCAATTGCTAAAGATTTGGCCACACAGGACGATACTGCCGTAATAACCTCGATGTTCATCACATTGTTCTGAAGCCAATCACAACCTCTTATTGTGCCCCACGGCTACCGCCACGGACCCAATCTACTTCTACTGTAAGGGCGGTCATATTTCATTAGACAGAAACTGCCAAGAGTGGATCAAACAGAAGAAAATCAAAAAAATTATGGCTGTTGAAAATTTAACCTTACCAGAAGCTGTTCAATTCAACAACAATAATTTTGTAAGTAAAGCTCACACTTTTTCTCAAGTTGTCTCTCGTAATCGCCCTACACCAAATGTCTCTTCCGGTACTAATGCACCCACAATAATTCCTTGCAATGTCACTAGTAATTCCCCCTCATTTCCAGATCTAAAGTACAACAATAATTTAATGAACCATCAAAAAAGAAAGAGAAAAAATAACAACAATCAAAGATCTTCAGCCTTACCTCGGCTCCCAATCACCATCTCCTCCTCATTAGCTCCTAATGGTAATTTCCTAGCTTACGTTGAATCCCAAAATAACGGTGACTCTCGAGGTCTCCCAGAGAGCTCAGCTCCCGCGCCCTTCCTATCAGAGGTGGCTAAGGCCTTGTCGAATCCCATTACCAATATTATATCTAACAATCAGGAGCATATATCTCCTTAAACTCTATCTAATTTAATCGAGTCATCTCTTATCAATATCCTATGCAATCCGATCTTAGGATCGGATTCCTAGTTGTTTCCCATCCTCATGTCTAGTATCAACGATTCATCCAACACTCTTCTCACTATCCTTCAATGGAATACCAGAAGCCTTTCTGCACGTCTAATAGATATTCCGCATATACTTTCATCCAACTCAGTTTCAGTTGCCCTCTTTTCAGAGACATGGCTTCTTCCTAATAGACGAATCAACATTCCTGGTTATCGTCTAGTTAGAGACGATAGACCTGATGGCTATGGTGGCGCCGCCATTGCCATTAAAAACTCTTTCAAGTTTCGAGTGCTCGACATCAACCCTGTATTATATCAGTCACTTGCTAGTTATAACATTAACCTAGTGGGAATGAAAATCCTATGTAACAATAACCCGGGATTGGATATCTGGTACTGCTATATTCCCCCTCATTCTAATTTATCCCAACCGGCTGTAAACAATATATTAAATGTCATGTCTAACTATTTCATATTTGGTGGTGACCTCAATGGTCATCACTCATGTTGGGGCTCCAACAGGAATGATCACCAAGGTTGTCTCATTCATTCAGCTATCGAAGATTTGCAGCTTTGTGTACTTAATAATGGATCTCTCACTCGTCTTAATCGCCCCCCTTTTCCTGACACGGTCGTCGACATTTCCGTTTCTTCTCCAAACCTTCTGCTAATTAGTCAATGGCAAGTCCTTGACTGCCCGCACGGCAGCGATCATTATCCTATCATAATAAGATTACCCTACTCTCAGGTGTTTCCTGAGAACCTCGTTCCCAAGGTTCAACAGACTCATAAGTTTAACTTCAATAAAGCTGATTGGCTACTATTTTATTCTCTTGTCGAAACTCACATCCCTCTTAGCTTTTCCGATGATCCACCAGAGGCGTACGCTTCTTTTATTGATATAGTCATTAGTGCAGCTAACTCAAGCATACCCAAAGCTAAATCTTCTCTCCACGATAAGGCCTCCCCAATCTGGTGGAATGATAACTACACAGTCACAGTCAAAACTAGATATACTGCATTCCGGTTGTTTAGACAGTCTGGAATTTTTGCTCTTTTTGTCTCTTTTATTGTCTCCAATTTCCTGATTTAATAAAATCAATGCACAATCACTCGGAGAACACTAAAACTCGCTAAATTATCAGCAGCATGGAGAGATTTCACCTCCACACTCAACCCTAGTACTCCTATTTCAACCTTTTGGTCCACAGCCAAAAAATTTAAACAAGTAATCACTCCCACCTCTTCAGCTGCTAATGAAGATTGGTTTGATAATTTCTGTTCAAAAGTTGCCCCAGATTATGTCCCTATGTACAATGAAGTTGAGTACACTCAATGTGCTAATACAACAGTCCATGTAGAGGACCACATCCTAACGAAGCCTTTTTTACTAATTGAACTACTAAATGCTATCAACTCCAGAAGATCTCCTGCTTCTGGATTAGACTCTATTTCCTCCATCCTCATTAAAAACCTGCCGGATAGAGCTATCAGCTGTTTACTAGATATACTTAACAACCTATTTATTAACCTTAAGGTCCAGGTTTCTTGGAGGCAGTTCAAGGTTATCCCTATACATAAGTCGAATACCAACTTGACTTCATACAGACCAATTGCCATTCGTCAACACTTTGCAAATTAACGGAGCATATTATAAAAACTAGGTTGGATTGGTGGGTTGAACATTTGTCAATTCTACCCGAAAAACTATTTGGTTTTCGTAAAGGTCGCGGCACCTTAGAGTGTCTGTCCAGTTTGGTTGGTCCCATTTACGATGCTTTCAATAGCCATGGTTTCCTAACCGCTGCTTTTATTGATATCCAAAGCGCATATGATTCCTTTCATATCTCTACATTGCTTGCTATACTACACTCATATAGCGTACCTGCCTCTCTGATTCATTTCATAGGTCTTCTGCTATTTACACGAGAACTAATTTTTATCTCCTCTTCAGGGTCTCAGTCATGTCGAACCACTCACACAGAGTTACCTCAAGGCAGTTGTCTCAGCCCTCTACTACTTAACATATACAAGTCTGTTATTGCGTTTGCTCTGGAAGAAACTAACATCCCGTACTTCATGTACGCTGATGACTTAGTTGTCTTCTAATCCCATAAAGATTTAAATCAAGCTTAATTTCTCCTCAATCACGCTTTGTCTATTCTGGCTAATAATTTGAACAAGTTTCATATCTCCGTAGCGACTCAAAAATGTAAGGTAGTTATTTTCACAAGGAAACGTTGATTTGTGCCCCATAAATTTCTTTTAGATGGCGACTTACTGCCTGTGGTTTCTGAAATTAAATATTTGGGTCTTATATTGGACAGCAATCTCCGATGGAAGGCACATTTATTCCAGGTAACTTCTTTTGCCTACAAATAGGCTAATCTGTTAAGGTCTGTAGCTGGTAGTTGGTGGAGTTCTCACCCTTCTTCTCTATTTAAAGTTTACAAGTCTATCATTAGAGCAAAGATTGAATATGGTTGTTGATTTTTTCACTCCGCCACCTTGTCACACCACAAGAAATTAAATTCACTACAGGCTAGTTGTCTACGCACGGCGCTCAGGTTGCTAAAGTCAATTCCTATATCTGTACTGAATGTTGAGTCCACCTGCCCTCCACATCCAATCAGATATCGTTGGCTTACTGGTAAATTTATATTAAAATGCTCATCTTTATCAAAATTCCCAATAATCGATATATTTAACTCGATTAATATTAAATGAAGATTCGTTCGAAGGTTTTTACCGTTACTCTCATTCATGATTCAAGCATTCTCAACGGTTTTTCCCCATGTTTACAAAGTCCACAAACAACCTTTATATGACATAAACTTTAATGCATTAACTCTCACCCCAAACGTGATGGTATCACCTAACATTCTGGGCCACACTCCTAATGATTTACGACTTATGCCTCCATGCATAATTAATAACCTATTTAGCCAGTTTATTGCCGATAATTTTAATTCGTTTACCTTGGTATTCACGGATGGGTCAGTCACACAATCAGGTGCGGTGTTTGCTTACTTTTCCCAGAATTACATATACAGTCTTCCTCCAACCTTTCTGATTTCGTCTCTTCATTCACGGCTGAATGCTGGGCTATCCCAGAAGCTTTCACATGCATAAGTTTTCTCCCCTGCGGAGATTTTCTTATTGTCTCTGATTCTCAAGCT